TAAATAGTGACTTTAAAGCACTGGTAAGAATGGAGAATTTTGATATAATGGGAATAACTGAAACATGGTTAAACGTGAAATACATGGTTACTGGCTATTTAATAGGGATAAAATACTAAAGAGGAAGGGAGGAGAGGCTTTATATGTAAAATGTAAGTTAATCCTATTGAAGTTGAGGATTTCAAAGATAATAGTAAGGATATTGAATCCATTTGGGTTTCTATTAGTGAATATGAAGGGAAAAGGCTTTTAGTAGGAATTTGTTACAGACCACCAAATCATACTGATGAAATTAGTGAGAAACATTACAATGAGATTAAGATTTCATCTATTAATGAAGTCCTAATTATGGGTGATTTTAATTTCAGGCATATAGTTTGGGAAATTTTAGAATCAAACCATAAAGGAAAAAGGTTTTTGAAAACTGTTCAAGATGGCTTTCTTTGCCAACTAGTCAAGGAACCTACTAGAAACAATGCTATTTTAAATTTATTATTAACTTCAAAGATAGAAATGATCAAGAGGGTGGGATTGGGGAACATCTGGGTGCTAGTGATCATTGCTCTAATATGTTCGATGTTGTGCTGCATATGGATATAAGAAATAATGATATTTTGGTTACAAATTTTGACAAGAATTATCTGTTGTTAATTGGGTAACTGAATTATTTGGAGACTCTGATCAGGTGTGAAAAATTTTTAAAGATAAATTTTTAAATATTCTAGGTAAACATATTTCTTATAGAAAGAAAAGGGTGGCTCACAAAGAGTTTAAGATTAAAATTAAAGAAAAGCATCATAAATTTAAGAAATTTAAACTGACTGATATGACAGGAGATTTAGAAGATTGTAGAAGATCAAGAAAATTGGTGAAACAGAAAATTAGGACATCAAAATGAACGTATGAGAAAAGGTTGGTTGAAAATGTAAAAGTTAACAGTAAGAATTTCTTTTGAATACATTAAGGGGAAACAAAATGTTAGGATTGGAGTAAGACCCTTGAGGGATGATAAAGGAAGGCTTGTATCTGATGATTATGAGATGGCTGGGTTATTAAATTCCGCTTTTTATTTAGTTTTTACTGATGAAGATTTAAGCAGTATTCCACATCTTGAACAGTTGATAGATGGAAACAAGATCAAACAAGATGACTGCATTAATTCTGAGCTGGTTAAGAAAAAATTGGGAAGTCTAAAAAATGATAAGGCTCCTGGGCCAGATAATATTTCCCCAAGGGTTTTGAAGGAGGTTAAAGATTGGATATATGAGCCACTTGCTACTATTTTTTGTTATTTCTTGAATAGTGGGCAGGTACGAAAGGATTGGAAGTTGGCTAATGTGACTCCTCTTTTCAAGGGAGGTGATAAAAATTGTCCCAGTAATTATAGACCCATTAGTTTTACATCAGTTGTGAGAAAAGTTTTAGAAAGTTTGATAAAAGATGCTTTGCAAAGTCATTTAACAAAGTTTAGAATTTTATTGGATTGTCATCATGGTTTAAGTAAGGGAAAATCTTGCCTTAGAAATGTTTTGACATTCTTTGAAAAGGTTGCTGCTTATGTAGATGATGGTAAGAGTGTAGATTTGGTGTATCTGAATTTTCAGAAAGCATTTGACTAGGTGCCACATAAAAGGCTTGTAAAAAAAATTATCTCTATAGGTGTGGGAGATAAATTAGCATATTGGATAGAAGAGTGGCTGGATGGAATAAAGCAGAGGGTTGTTACAAATGGAGTTCAGTCAAACTGGATTAATGTTACAAGTGGGGTAACTCGGGGCTCAATCTTAGGACCCTTACATTTTTGATTTACATCAGTGACATAAATGAAAGGAATGGTCAATAAATTATATACATTTGTGGATGATATTAAGGTCTTGGGTATTGCTAGCTGTGAAGAGGATGTTGCTGATTTACAAAAGGATTGAGATCATTTAGTGAGTTGGGCAAATAAATGGCAGATGGGTTTTAATTATAATAAATGCAAGATAATGCATGTGGGTTATTATAATGTGAATTATAAGTATAATTTGGATGGGATTAATCTTAACAGTGTCATGAAAGAAAGAGATCTTGGTGTAATAGTTGATCAGTCTCTAAAGCCATCCAAGCATTGGGCTGTTGCTAGTGGTAGGGCAAATAGGATTTTAGGTTGTATTTACAGAAATATTAAAATACAAGTCTATAGAATTATAAATTTCATTGTACATGTTACTGTTAGGCACATTTGGAATATTGTGTTCAGTCTTAGGCTCCTTAC